GTCCACGGTATTGCTGAGACTTGCGTTCGCATGCTAGAAAAATCCCCCTTCCAAATATTTGTTTGTAATTGTTCAGGTGAATTAGGCTGAAAGAACAAGGAACACTCGAAGACCATCACAATCTGATCACTAGCACCAATTGGAGGGAGATCTTGTATGTCCAGCACACTCTTCGCATCTCGAGTGAACACCAGGTCGAGGCAATTTGAACGTTGCCCTTCCCTAACACGTGTTCCGAGAGTTACATTCTGGAAAAGTAGTTTTTTTTGCTGCCAATTCAAGCAAATGTTGTCCGAATGTGTTCGATGGACCCGAAACCGTCCAAGCATGCCAGTCGATATTAGGGGCGTTAAAGTCCCCGACAATAAGGACGTCTCTGTTCGAGCAGGTCTTGTTCAGTTCCCTTAGGAAGAGACTATCGTGTTCAGAAGTCTGGTTTAAGGGACGATATACAACTGCGAACGCCAGAGGCCTGGCGTATTTAGTGGAGATATTTAAAGATAAGAATTCCACTTCCGCTGTTGTCGTTGGAATTTGCTCAGAGACAGCGGTCAGGTTGTAGCTAACATAGACAGCAACCCCTCCTCCTCGGCTTTTCCTGTCTCTTCTGAACAGCTGGTAGCCTCTAAGGGATACCTCATGATCTCCAATGGCTTCTGAGAGCCATGTTTCTGTCAAGACGATGATATCTGGCGTGTGCTCGTCGATCAAAGTACTGAGTTCATCCATCTTGTTAAACAGGCTCTGCGCGTTCGAATACAGCACCTTTAGTGTCCGTCTTCTCGGGGGGAACTGGCCCTGATTACAAAGGGGGTTAGCCACAGGAACGATCGTTTGAGCTGTATAATTTTCAACCCCTTCTCCCCCTCTTCTGTTCTTCTTTTCAGTTCTGTCCAGAGCTCCCTCATCTTGTGTCTTTCTGTCGGTTCGTAATCCGGCTGAAGAAACACTTCCTTATGCGAATGACGAAGAGCCATCCTCCCTTCTAGGAGATGTGAGGCCTAGGCTTCATTTGCAAGTATGATTTTAAGAGGCCTTAGTAATGCTCGCGACGAATCTGCGTTTCCTAGACAGAAAGCTTTGTGCACGGTAACACATGCTCTGCCCCGAAGGAAGGCATTTGAATATGTTTGAAAGACGTTGAGATCGTGTTCGATTCTTTTTTTTGCAGTCGAAAAATTCGACCAGGAGCTCCCTTTATGACGATATTTCGTTTTCGGTAGAGAAGCCTGTTTAGAAGAGAGCCCCTACGTTTCTTTTTACACGCATGTTCAGCATTTCGCCAATTTCCGTTGTCATCATCGTTTGACTCAGAGACAGCTGTTGTGGCATAGCTACCACAGGGTTCCTCACCAACCGAGTATTCTTGGTCGTGCGATAAATCCTTCGGCAGTGTGGTATTTGCTGGCATTGTGTGTGGACTCTGCTCTCTCCTACGGACAGTCTGACTTGCTTTTTCTTTTCGGGATGCCATGGGACGCTTCTGCGTTTCCTGAGATCCCTCTCCGTCGTTCTTTTCTTGCAGATGTGGTCGGTTGTCAGTTATGATTTCTTCCTTAGACGGACAGTCTTCTTCCTTGGCGGCGGATCCAGTTAATGAGACTGTGCTTGAATATATTCTCTTTGTTTTCTGGGGATCTGACATCGACGACTTTCTCTTTACGGGTGAATGGTCAGGAGGTTTCGTCAACTTCTCCATCTCTATTTTAGGTCTTTTATCTCATTCTCCATCTTCAGGACTTTCTGGAGAAGTCTGAAACCTGCCGCATGTGTTTTATGTTCGTTCTTGTAGTTGATATCCATTAAGGTTACTAAACTACTGGCCTGTTTGGCAGAAGATTTGATAATGGGGAAGCCGACGTTACATTCATTTAGACAATGTGCATTGTTTATTACATCATTATTTTAGCCCCTCTGCGTGTCTGTGCTGCATTGGTAACAACGCCGCCCTCGTCACCTCCTTGACTGGGTTCGAATCCCACTTGGGGCACACTTCTTGAGCAACATCCCGAAGGCACTTCTTCGACTACCATTTTCACGTATAAAAACTGGAGAAGCTTTTAAGTATGTTCGAGGAGCTATTTAACCAGACGAGCGATATGAAGCAAGTAGGGAACGATATGAAGCAAGTAACAAGCGACTCAGTCGTTCTTGGAATGGCGGGTCCCGCGGGGCTGTTGGCGACGAGGTGGTCCGAAAGGGAATGGTTATCCCAGAGAAAGTCCTGTCGAAGTTCCGTGTGGATCGAGTAATTGTTGGTTACGATCCAATTTCTTAATCCAAATGGACCCTTAGAGCGTCCAGTAGGCAGAAATCTCGGAAAAGGCAAATTCGTCGGAGGTCGTAAATTTCAAACCGAATTCAAAAGGCGACATAATTATATAAATTGAGTTTTTCTTGCTGTTTAAATTCGGATCCTTATTAACTTACCAAACGAGGATAAGGTGAAATAGTCCGCCAAGTTTTCCACTATCGACATGTTCCGACAGAGACAATATAAACAATTGTCGCCTAAGTTTGTTCCAATATATTTTTTTGCCTAAATTCGAGAAGCATGACAGCTGCCCCACGTGGCTCAGCATAACATGGACTCGATCCTCCGACGTCTAATATACCAGCATGCAGCTCAGACCGCTCTGACACCCCAGCGGGAGGACGTCCGATCTCTATTGCAAAGGCGGGTCACATGCATATAGGATTTGTGCTGGATGCCAGCAGTTAGTCCTCAAGGTCAACAGTCTTGATGAAGAGATTGAGCAAATGGAAACTCTTGAAGAACGAGAAGCGATCGCTGGGACAAGAGCTTTATTCGCCTGATGTTTCGGATTACTGCCCGAATCCACCATCAAAAACAAAGCAGATACGGGTGGTTCATGCACAAAGGGCTGCAGTATTTATAGGATGCAGTCGTCATGCTACCGCATACCTATGCATAATCGCAGCTCCCCTCTGCATCAGGAATCGTTGCACTTGGTTTGCTGAATGTTTGACAGCCGAAATTCGCGTCGCTAATTACTTCAATTTCATCACGGGCGTTGGATGTTGGTGTGATGATTGCTCGACCATCTGACGCACCGTCCCTGGTAGGGGGACAAGTGTTCACATGTCCGCTTTCCGCGTGGCTAATTATTCCGCCTAGGCGAAGTCTCAGCACAGAGTATGGAAGGGGAAGTTCATTGCACTTGTTAATGGACTGGGGGCCAGTAAACCATGATTCAAGTAGCTCCCGGCTCACGCAGTAGCCACCTCTTGCGAATTTCGGCCTCGGCGAATTTGAATGTGTGGCCGGATCTCGTCGAATAAGCCGCAACTTGAGAGCTGGCGTCATTTCTGCGCCCCGCTGCCGTGTGTTCGGCCATTCTCGTTTGGAGCTGCCTTCCGGTTTCTCCGACGTATTTGCTTCGTCCGCAACTGTACCAGATCCGATAAACGACTCCAGACGTTTTTTGCCGTGGCATTGGGCCTTTCGGTTTCATTGGCAGACGCCTGATGGTTGCCTCCGGTCTGTGTACAACTCCAACCCCAAGTGGTGCGAAAAGGCGGCCGACGGCTTCCGAAACTTTCTTGACATACAGACGCGCCTGTCAAGATTTGGTGTCCGTACGATTAAGCCTTTCGTCCCCTTTGCGTACGCATCGGTTGACAAAGTTGAGCGGGTAGCCATTGCCCTTGAAGACCCGTCGGAGTTATTGTTGTTCGGCAATCTTGTCTTCCGGCTCACTGCAGTGCGCTTCGACATGCCGATATGGTGTTCTTACACAACTGCGTTTGTGGCTGATTGGGTGGTTTTTGTTGAAGTTCAGTATTTGCATCGTATTTGCAGCTTTCCTGAACACTTTGATCTTTTGTCCACCAAAATCTTTGCGGCATACGACGACATCCAGGAAGGCCAGCTGATTCTCCTCTTCCTCCTCCATCGTAAATTTAATGCCCGGGAAGACGGCCCAGAACTTCGGTCTGTGGTGTTGGAAGAGCAGCGACCCTAACTGTTGCAGGACCGCCTCGGCGATGAATCCCAAAATCGGCTTACCCATTGGTGTGCCCTTCACCTGTTCGTAGATTGTCCCGTCGAACGCGAAGTACGTCTTGAGACAGAGCTTCAGGAGCTGAAGGATTTGGGCGTGTTCAAGACGATTCCCCGTTTCATCGTGTTTACTTTGCAGCAGCAGCTCGATTGTATCGAATTCAAGGTCCTGGGGAATAGAAGAAAAAAGGGATGTAACATCAAAAGATACCATGGCCTCATTTTTATGGAGGCTTATCCCTTTGAGTTTCTCCAGGAAATGTGCTGACGAAGAGACCGTGGTGTCTAACTCAGCGGTCAGGATCTTCCGACGCCGAAACAGCCACTTAGCCATTCCGTACGTTGGAGTCTCTTTGAACGACTCGATGGGCCGGGGAGGAGCGCCGTCTTTGTGCGCCTTAGGGAGGCCATAGAATCGGGCCGAAGCCGTATCTTGTGGTCCGCCATGCGCCTGTCTGTCGGTGTTATTGCACCTGAGTTATCCAAGGTCAACAACGTAGCATTAATTTCGCGCGTCAGCGCCTTTAAAGGGTTCGTTGAACATGGGACATAGAACTGTCGGTCCTCCAGTAAACATTTGGCATTTTGAAGGAAGTCTGTCCTGTCCAGTACAAACGTGGTGCGTCCTTTGTCCGCTGGCACGATGATCAGGTTTTTGTCGATCTTGAATTATCTAAGCGCATCACGTTTGACCTTGGTAAGCACTTACCGCGGCATGTGGACCATCAGGAGAGATGACACTTGCTGTCGGATGACGCTCTTAGTCTCCTCCGTTGCCTCTGTCTGACAAAGGATTAATTCCACTGCAGCAATCATATTAACAGTTTTCGCGTCAGCCGTGTCAAGTGAAGCTTCGTGCCGTAAAACCTGCATCTGATCCTTCCTCAGCTCCTTTGATGACAGGTTGTGCACCATCTTGTCGTTTCTGGGCGACGTTGGATTGGGCAGCTTTCCGAATCTGTTCTCCAGTGCTGCGTCGCGTATAATTCTCTGTTCGCGGGCTTGTTCAGTCACCCTCTGCAGGAGCAGATTTGTACCTATCTCGTCCATGAACTCACAGTATATGGTCTATCTCAGTAAATCCTTTGGCGGTTCTTGTAAAGTCTCGCGTGGCAATCTTGGAGAAGGACTCGGGCCATCCTTCCGCCATGTTGAAATACTGCTCGTCTGGCCAAATCTATGTTAACCAGGGACTTGTATGAAGCACATTTCGGTAACACATTATTGTCGAGACACCTTTGCTGAAACCGAATCTGCGAATACGCAGAGGCCTCACGAAGGGCGAAGGTTTCCCATCGCCGGGCCGATCGGAGCGCATCACGCCCAAATACATTGCCAATAGATGCGAAAAGACAAGTCCCAGAAAGTAGTCTTGAAGAAGAAGACACAGACCCGGTCGAGATACCTGTGCAGCCCCTTGTGCATGAATCACCCGTATCTGCTGTTGTCTCTGATGATGGATTCGAGCAGGAATCCAATACGTCAGGCTAATAAAGCTCTTGTCCCCGCGATCGCTTCCCGTTTTTCAAGTCAATCTTTTGGCAGGTTGACTGATAGACGGCATGACAGGTGATCGCTGGCATGGCTCGTTTGAATTCACCTTCCGCTACCCCCTGCCCTAGTGAGAATCGATGGAGTGACTGCATCCATCGCATGGGAAAACACTCACGAGAGCCCAAACGGACAGAAGTCATCGTCAGATTTGCATGTTTTTGCGCACACACTGTGAACCAACGCCACAGTTAAGACAGCATGGAAATCGGACGTTTATACAAGAAAGGGTATCTAACTGCTAGAGCATACGACACAAGCTAACTCTCAATGCGCCACCGAGGATGAAGTCGACAGAACATACTGCATATCCTTGCCTCACCCCTGCTGGGATAGTACTTGGCGCCACTGACCGTCTTTTAAATTAGTTGCGTTCCCCAAAGTTTTCTTGATGCCACCGAGCATTCCATTAACATTCTACAACGCCCGTGTCAATTTATGTAGACCTTTTCCCCAGTTTTCTCTCAACCAACTGCCTCAGAATTTTACTGGGAAGTGAACTTTTGGCATAAACTAAAGTTTGCTTCTAATGTGTTCGAGTGCATAGTTTACCGGAAAAAGTGTGCAATGACATTTTTCGTGTAGCACATTGAGGCCAAAGGCACTTTGAATCCAAGGCGTCACTTGTAAAGTGGCCGGGAGCGTGAGTTATCTCAGAGCTGGAAATCCGTGGTGTACCTAGTGGTCCCATAGCCGCAGATCCTCCACCTCCCCTCTTCCCTGCTTTCCCTTGCCATACACTCGCAAATAAAACCTAATTCTCCGCCAAACATCCCGAAGCAACAAACAAGCCTGTTCATTTTTCCGACTGTTTCGTTTCCCAGTTCTTTCAGACGTGCACATCTCTTTGCCCTCGCTTTGCGCCGTCCTCCAGTCTTGGATTGGGCACTTTTCTGATGTGTCTGACCGTTCTTTTAGTTG